CTTCTCCACCATTTCAGTCCATCCAGCTTTTATAGAATGTACTGGATGAGGCCTATCACTTCACTCTCAGCCACAGCTACCTTATAGTGTGACTTCTCCTCGTCATTATTTTTAAATTTGAAGAGTACAGAGGAGTATAATATTTTTTTTCACCAAACCCTTCTTTCTGTAAGTACCGTGTTAAAGATCAGAATGTCTTTCAGGCATTGGCTATACGTGGAGAGCTCTTGGTGCCGCCTTCTAGGAATTTAGCAGGAATTTGGCGTTGGGCTAGGACAAGGAAGTAGGCTCAAGAGGAATACAGCTGAGGAATGTGTTCTTTGTATCTTGATGAGTCTTGTTAAGACTCTGAATACAGTAATCATGGGACCTTTCTTTATGTCTCCTTTGTTCCTTGACTACTTTGTTTATGCCTTAGGGACTGACCATATTCTTTGTTATATACCTAGAATGATATAAAAGCAGACTGGAAAAGAATAAACCCTCTTCAGCTTCAGCACTGGCTGGAGTCATGTTATAATGTTGTCTAATTGTCTTTTTCTTTTCAATCCTCACGTCCTCTCTTGAGACCCTGTTGACTGACTCAGCTGGCTTGGTCACCTATACAGTCTCTACAATGTTAAAAGTCCAAAGTTCAAAGTCTCTTTTGAGGTTCATGCAACCTCTAAACTGTAATCTCGTAAGAAATACAAAATAAACAAAGGAGATCACATACCTCCAACATCGTGCAGGATATACAGTACTATTCCAAAATGCCATGGTGAGGAAATAATGGACCACAGCCAGATAGAAAACCAGTTAGGCAAACTCCAGACTCCCTGTACTCCATGTCCGATGTCAAATCACTCTTCAGATCTCCAATTCCTTTCATTCTTGTTGGCAGATCAGCAGCAAGAAGCTTTGTTCTCTTGGGCTGGTTTCACTGCCTGTTGGCTGCTTTACTCAGGAGGTATTCACAGCTTTAGCATCTAGAACATCCAATTACTTGGGATACTGGATTGTCAATAGAATTAAAGACAAATATCATCTGTCATCCCTGGAAAATACATAACCATGTTCTCAGGTGACCTTGGTGTGTGTCTGGTGTGAGACAATTCATCACCTCAAGTTGTGTAGTTTATGAGTGGAATATCAGTATCTGAATATAGTCTTTTTCCTTGTGTCAAAGTGAAGTCTTTGATGTGATGGCCATTTTCCTATTTTTACCCCTTTGATTGATGAATTCATTTAGCTATACTTATCCTTTGAGGAAGACCCTGTTCCTAATTATGAATTTTTAATTATCATAGTTAAAAGTCTTTTAAAGTATGTGTTTTTCTTTAACAGAGATGGCTAATATAGTTCATATTTAAATTTTTTTGTACAGGATGTCAAAAGAAGTAAATAAGGATGTCCTTATTTTATGAGGAGATAATGATGCTATTCACAATGCAGAAGTCTTAACAGAAAGCCAAAGCTTTGACTAATTTTGACAATCCTAATTGTTTTCCTGATAGGCCAAACTTTATGAACAGATTTAAATATTTGTCCATTGAAATTAGTTATACATTCAATATGTGATCTAGTAGCATGTCCCAAATAGGAATAGTTCTCTAAACAGAATTTTTCTTTGTTTAAGGCAATAATTGACTAACCAACAAACAGAAGCTTTGTCCAGTGGAAAAAAAACATATAAAATATATAAACATAAAATCTTATAAAATGCCCAATTTAGTAAAAAGATAAAACAAAGTTCTTGGCTTTTTTGTAACTCACATTTCCACACACACACTCCATCCCAGGCAAACATTACTAAGAAAAGGTCAACCATTAAGAAAACCATTGTTGTTGGGCAGTGGTGGCATCCACTTTTAGTCCCAGCAACTTAGGAGGCAAAGGCAGGCAGATCTCTGAGTTCAAGGCCAGACTGGTCCACAGAGTGATTTTCATGACAGCTAGGGCTACACAGAAAAACCCTGTCTCAAGAAAATCAAAGCAAAACAAGTAACTATGTTATGGACATTTACAATTAGCTTGATTTTGTTATTCACATTGTGTGCACATACTGAAATATCACTCTACACACCTTCGATAGCATTGTGTCTAGAACCATTTAAAATAGTACCTCCCTGCTGTTACATGTGGACGTCACCTATCACAGTAGATATTCTTCTGTTTCGTTTCTTCATTTGTTTTGTTGGAATTGTTACTATTGGGGGTGGGGATGGGGGCTTGTGGAGACAAGGCTGGCCTTGAACTCCTGAGTTTCCTGTGTCTACCTCCCAAGTGTTAGGATTCCATGTGTGAGCCACCAAACCTGGTACGATAGTGAAAATTTTAAAGACAATATTTTGCTTTAAAATTCATGTTTTAGGTTAGAATAGATAGTGGGTTTCATTATGTCCTATGTTCTGTGGGGTGAACAAAGAATTGTACATCCTGGAAAGCAATTGTACACCCAAAGAAAGCAAACATGACTGGAAAGTGAAGTAACAGAAGAAGATGCAAGGGACACAAGAGGCAAAGGCCCTGGAGATAGAAGAGCAGGAAGGACAAACTTTATTCAGGTGGACAAACAGCTGTCATCAAGGGGATGGGAGGGTCCCCAGAGGTGGGAATCAACTAAGGGCTCTGGGTGGACTTTCCATAAATCCCAGGTCCCTCTGCCTTTCTCCCTCATTAGACATGCTCATTTGCCTTTAGCAATCTGCACCTGTTGAAAGGTTCTTGAAAAAAGTGGGAAAGGGGAGGCTAAGGAGCAGCTTCCTCTCTTAAAGAGGCTGGTTCCCTGTTTTCTACACCACCCAAGTCCCCTGATGCTTCAGCATCTGTAGTGTGTGTGGTGTTACATTGTTCTCATTTGTTCCCCTCCCTCCCTGTCCTCCCATGCTCCAGACTATGAATTTGTTTGTTTATTTCAGTTTGTTCTAACTTGGGGAACTTTTTTTTTTTTTTGAGTTTCATTTTGTAGTCCTGGAACTTGCTACATAGACCAGGCTGGCCTCAAACTCAGAGAGATCCACCTGCCTCTCTGCTCCCGAGGCCTGGGCTTAAAGGGGTATGCCTCTAAACCTAGCATAGGACTTTTTTTCACCTTGATATATACATTTATCATTTATGGTCATAGAATTTTTCTCTTATTTTCCATTCATTCAACCGGCATACACATACTCATTTTTAATAACTATAGTAAAAATATATTTGTAAATAAAAATGACTTTATAATTTTAACATTTAGCTCATTATAATTTGTGATATGTAGTACAGACCCAATTTAATTATTGACCACACTAACATTTTATGGAATCAGAGGTATTATTTGCTATCACTTCCTTTTGATCTTGATGTCTCCTTTTCTTTATTTGACAAGTTCTTTCAGTGCTTCCATGTAAGAACTTGTAAGAGTAATTTTCTACGTTAAAAAAATCTCATACCATTTTGACCATTATTTTTAGGTTTTTAAAGTTCTAACACAGTACAGTGCTTTTTGAGGTTATTCCTTTTAGATCTGTTTGTCCAAAGACTTCACATGCTCTTGACATTCATTGTCCAAAAACTTGACACTGAAATTTCCAAAGCATTTTCACCTCAACTTTCAAGTATTTTCTTGTGAAGGTAATTATAGTATGACCATAAGTAAAAGTTATCTTGACTTGACTTTTCATGGCTTTTATTATTATTATTTAAATTCTTCATATAATGTATTTTGATCGTAGTTTTCCCCTCATCTATTCTCTTTATGTTCTCTCCTTCTCTCAAAACAAGCAAACAAATGAAAATACACACAAAAAACAAGTAAGACAAAAAAATACTAAAATAAGCCAAAACAAGAAGCATACAAAACACATGGGGTCCATTTTGTGTTGGCTAACCACTCCTGGGAATGGGGCCTGCCCTGAAATATGGTTGCTATACCTCAGTGTCACTCTGTTGGAGGGAGGGGGCTGATTTCTTCACTCCTAGCAAGTATTAATTTCAAATGCCTTCTTGGTTAGAGATGGGATTTTGTGACCACATTCTCTTCTCCCTGCAGGGGTTTTGTCTGGCTTGAGCTTGTGTTGGCCTTGTGTATGCTATCATGTCTCTGTGAATCAACATTGTTATATCTGGAGGACGCTGTTTCTTTGGAGTCATTTTCCACCTCTGGATCTTGAAATCTTTCATTCTCCTCTTACTCATAGATCCTTGAGCTTTGAAAGGCAGGGTTTGATAAAGACGTTTCATTTAGGGTTGAGCACTCCAAAGTGGTTCATTCTCTGCACATTGTTCAGTTGTGGGTCTCTGTATTAATTACCATTTTAATGCAAGAAGAAGTTTCTCTGATGAGTGTTGAGCAAATGGGCATAGCACTATGTCATTGATAGCATTTTATTGCTGTGTTCACTTAGCAGAATAATAGTGGTAGATTTCCCCCTAAGCCTATGGTCTACCTAGTCTCAGGTTCTTGATCTCATTAAGACTGTCAGGTGTGGGTTCCATCTAATTTTTTTAAAAAGTAGTTGGTTACTCCCATTAGTGCCACTACTGCACCAGTGTGTTTTTACAGGTTGTTGCTGCTGTAGATTGCAGGTTCTATAGCTTGGTGGTATTACTTTTCTTCTCCAGTAGTGTGTCTAGAACCTTCCAACAGTGAAGCTTCTAGTTCCATACCGGATCAATTTTTCAATGCTCTATGATATAATTAAGTGATGTCATCACTAACCATCAGAATATGAGAGCCTTACCATCAGGTTGTGGAGGATAACCAATAGCCTTAACAATAACTTTCAATGTTTGGGTGAGTCTAGGGATCCCTTTGGCCAACAACTCATCAAGATGTAACCCATTCCTGGCGCTGGAGGTGTAAGGATGGTTTTGATGTAAAAATTTAAGTTGGGTGTGGTGATATACACCTGTAATCCACTCTAGAAGCTGCAGCATGAGATCACAAATTTTAGGTCAACAATTCCCTACTTCAGACAAAGCAGATTGATGTTTCACATTATTGTTGGACCTTTCCATTCATAATAAAGTAACGCTTTTCATATCCCCTTAGTTGAAATGGCCTTCCTCAGAAGCCTCTTCAAAGCTCCTATGACATCTTTGTTCCTCAGAGTGTAGATGAACGGATTAGCCATGGGAGTGATGACACAGTAAAACAGAGTCAAGACCTTGATGAGGTCTTGGGAGCCATCCTCTGAGGGTTGCATGTAGATGTAGATCCCTGGTCCATAAAATAAAGACACCACCAGCAGGTGTGATGAGCAAGTGTTGAAAGCCTTGAGTCTCCCTGCTGCAGAAGGCATTCGAAATACAGTTTGGGCAATGTAACTATAAGATACAAGTATCATGGAGAGGGGACCCATTATAAAGAATGTGGCCACCACTGCTAAAGTAATCTCATTGACTGTGGTATCCCCACAAGACATCTTAATAAGCCCAGGAAGCTCACAGAAGAAGTGGTCCAGCATTCGGTTTCCACACAGGGGTAACTGTATGGTAAGTGTAGACTGCAGCAGTGAGTTGGCCAGGCCAGTCAACCAAGCAGTGCCAGACAGCTGAAGACAGAGCCTGTGGTCCATAATAACAGAGTACCTCAGAGGCTTGCACACGGCCACATAGCGATCTAAGGCCATGATACCAAGAAGGACACATTCAGTACAGCCTAGCCAATGAAACACATAGGCCTGGGCCATGCAGCCTATATAAGTGATGTTCTTGTTGGGTCCCTGTAAGTTAAACAACATTTGAGGGACAGTTGTAGTAGTAAAACAGAGATCCAAAAATGAAAGGCTGGTAAGGAAGAAATACATGGGACTTTGGAGCTGGGAATCAAGTTGAGAAACCAAAATAATAGCAATGTTTCCCAGCAATGTGAACATGTAGGAGGTCAGGAGGACAAAGAAGAGGGGAAGATCCAGCCATGCGTACTTGCTAAAGCCCATAAGTATGAAATCATCTGGGAAATCTCCATTAATGGATTTCATTGAAGTTTCAAAGGAGAGAGGCCTAATAAAATCAAGGAAGAAAAGGATGACTTAAAAAAATTACAACTAGGCAGATTTTCTGAAGGTACTAGAAAAAAATTACACCTTTTCCCCCCCTAGGGAAAAAGCCGGTATATGCCATCCACAGAAATCACAGCAGTGGTGATAAATGCAGTAATTAATAGGTAACATTTCAAACATCTGAAAAACTCTTCCTGGGGACAAAATTGTTCTAGGTAATGCTCGCTTTCCTCTCCTTGCTCTCTTTCAAGAAGAAACTTCTCATTGAGACATCTGAAACACATGAACAAATCAGTATTCAGACAAAGTGGTAGCTCTTTTCTTCACTTCTTTGTGTTAGGAGAACAACTTGTCAGTAGAAAAAAGGGAGGGTCAACTTTTCATATAGATTAACTATTCCTTTTGTCTGACAATGGTGCCAATGGAGGTGGGCAGTGTGTTGTTTACCTAGATTCCTCACAGCTAAGGGAGTGTGTAATTTAGGGTTAATCAATCTGATGCTAGTCCCCAGGGCTTGAACACAGACAATGCCACATGCTAGAACATTTACAAGACCAAGTGCAGGGCACAGACAACCCCAAGTGCTAGAACACAGATAAAATCAAATTATAGTACATAGACAAGGCCAAATGGTAGTATATAAACAAGACCAAACACTAGAACACAAACAACATCAAATGCTAGAACATAGATAAGCTAGGGCAGAGGCAAGAACAAACGCTGGACAGATAGGGTCATGGGCATTCCCATTTGCTGCTGGTCAGAAGCACAGTGGTGCAGTTACTTAGGAGACAGCTCTTCGGACTCTTACAGCACTAAATATAAGCTGTCAGACTCAGCTAGAAATTGAGCTCTTTCCTATTCTCCAAATGTGCTGAAAAGTTATGTCCATATAAAACTTGTCCACAAATGTTTATAACTGCTTTACTCATGGCTGCCAATGTTTAGAAATAACTAAAATATCCTTCAGTTGGTGAGTGGATTAATAAACCGTGGTACATCTAGATAACAGAACATTATTCAGTATTAAAATTTGAGCTTTCAAACCATGAAAAGACACTGGAGAAGCCAATCTGAGAAAGCTATATTCTGAAATATTCCAACAGAATGTCATCCTCAAAGGATGACGCTGTAGAGATGTAAAACCATCAGTGGCTGCCAGTGACTAACAGAGTGAGAATCATTGTAACATCAAAGATTTAAGACAGTGAAACTACTCCATGGCTTCTGTGCTCATGCTCTCTGTAATGATGGGTGTATGCCAAGGTTAACTTGTCCAAATGAGCAGGATGTATAATGCCAAAGGTTAATTGCAACGCAAATTCTGGATTTGGAGCAGTCAATACATCAATGTTGGCTCATTGATTACAACAAATAGTCCTTTGTGGTGTGGAAAGATACACATGCATGGAGGTGATGGGATTATGGGAAATCTCTGTACTTTGCTCAACTCTTCTATTCACCTAAAATGTCTCTAAATTTTGAAGAAAAACATTTACTTGCCCATTGAGAAGGTTATATGATTAAAAAAAAAGAAGAAGATTCTCCTGTAACACGCTCAGTATGCATAAAAAGCTTAGAGTCAATTAAAAGACAAGCCGGAGGAAAAGAATAATACATTTGAAAATTAACATAGACATTTCCTAGTAGGATAGAGATTTAGATACCACATGTTGGGATTAATTCTAAGAAACTGGTAGCCAAAGAAATTACATATGACTTTATCATGACAAGAAAGTTGTTTTTCCATTTACTGGATGAGTCTGTGGAAGTTGTTTTAATTGTTTTGGGTTTGTTTTGTTCGTTACATGATTGAAACCTGGTTATGAAGTGACAGGTCTGAATGATGTTGCTAGAATCCATGTGATGTGTGATAGAGGACCATGGGAAGATTGCAGAACATTTTCATGTCAATCATAATGGACAGGTGATGAGGACCGGGCTACCACAACCCGTGGCTCAGTGTTTTCCTATGGAAGAACCTTCTCCACAGCCATGATTGTTCCCTAAAAGATCAGGCAGTGTGAGTGATGAGTGAGAAAGTTGGTTTTATTTTTCCACTGCAAGCTCATGGTATTACATTTTTAAAATCTTGACTATGTGCCTTGAATATAATGAAAAATAGCAAAGACTAGGAAGTGCCAATACTTATAAATGATGGCTAAAGACTTCAGAAGCACACACTCATGTTTGAAACAATAGAAACACAACAGTTAAACCTGCAGGGAAGGGAAGTATTTGAAGAAAGCTTGGTCAGTTTTATAGCTGATTTTAGCAACCTGATAAACGTACATGTGTAGAGAGCATTATCATATGTTATAGGGAAAAACCAGGTTGTAAACTCAACTCAAGGTTTTCATGATGTAGAAAACCTTTATCTCTATGTTAAATGCACTGACCAAACAAATGTGTTTCAGGACAAGAGTGGGATGCCTGGAATAGCAGCTCTTAAGAACCCTTACTACAGTGGACAATGAGTAAGGATAGGAGAGAATGGAAAGCTGGGGGTGAGGTGAGGGCAACCTGCACAGGGATAGCATTAGCAAGCAAGGCAGTGGTGACAAATAGGAGCAAGGCATGGCTATACAACAGAGGAGTTAGAACCCCAAACTTTAATCCAAGATGCTAGGAGGCTGGAAATGGAATGGACAGAAAGAAAAGGTCATTGATATGAACATTGTGTGGGATACATAGCTTAAATCACAAATATCTTTAGAAGGCAAATTTTAAGTTTGGCATGCAAGAATCAGCTTGAGTGAGTCTCCTGGGGTCTTTTACCTCTGGGTTAACGTAACCAGCTAGTGATTTGAGAAATCATAAAGCACCTGAACCTGTGTTTGAGGTAGTTATAATAGTTTAGTTACCAAGACCAGGAATATGTGGAGGCAAAAAGACAGTGACAAGAGACTGCGTCCAAACAGAGAAGAGTCATTGAAGGGAACCAGGCATTCACAGATAAAGCAGAGAAAAGAGTGACATCCTGTCTTCTCACAAACATCCTCAAGAATTTGGACTTGTCCATTGTTCGCACAATTTGATTCCTGAATTGATCTTCATTGTGTTATATTTTAAAGAGTTTGTTCAACCCCAACCTTCCCTCTCACTCTTTACTAAAGTTGACTATTTCTTTGCTAGAGCAAGAACTTAGTTAGCTGAAGTATCTTACTTAACCTAGCTGATCATGTGTACCCCAGAACATTGATTTATTCATCCTCTCAAAACCAAATAAAACTACACAAAATCCAGGGATATTTAGTCTTGTGTTGGTAGAAAGGGAGATCACTAGCACATACCTCTCTGTGTTGGGATTTATTAGGCAGATGTGATCAGCTATAGAAATATAGTCAGGAGAAATGCTGCTAAAGGACCAGGTTCCTCAGGTTCAGAGAGAAATTAAGTGGGTATGATCAGGCTAGGGACCCAAGAAGAGCCTCTAAAGTTTCGATGTGGCAGGTCATGTGACAAAAGAAAAATTCTCTCCTGGTTTTAGGGTTGACTCAGGAGAAGATAAAACCAGCTTTCACCCAGTGTGCCAGCCCTCCCTGAGAGACTGCCGTTGGCAAACGAGTCTCCCTGGAGCATCGGGTTTATATTTACCACTTTGGCTATATTAGGGTTTGCATCAGATTTTCCATCCATTAATCTCATTTGACTACCAAGGGAGAGAAGAATTTGCTTCCCCAATTTTCAGAAAGCAAACAAATGTATTAATAACAACAATAATAGGACCTGAGAGATGGCTCAACAGCTAAAACAAAACAAAACACTTTCTGCTCTTGCAGACGACCAGTGGTTGATTCCCAGCACTCACATCGGGTGGCTCACAGCTACCTATAACTCTATCTCCAGGGATGATCTATTCTGCCTCCATGGGTACTCAAATGCGTGTGCATGTGTGCGTGCATGCGTGTGTGTGTGTGTGTGTGTGTGTGTGTGTGTGTGTATGTTATAGACATGTACCTCTGTGTCTCAGATAGTTTCTGTATAAGGTTGGTGCATCACAAATGCAGAACTCATGAATAAGAACTCTTTCTTTCTCTGTCTCTCTGTCTCTTTCTCTCTGTCTCTCTCCCTCTCCCTCTCCCTCTTTCTCTCTCTGTCTCTGTCTCTCTCTCTCTCTCTTTCTCTCTCTCTCTCTCCCTCTCTCTCTCTCTCACACACACACACACTCACACAATAAAAATAGTAACAATAATAATAATCATTTAACACACCACAAACACTTTACAGGAAGGTCCCTAGTAGCTTAAGTGGGCACTGTTATTGTCCTCGTCTATAGCCTGAAGCTTGAAGAAATTAAATAATTTGTTCAAGATTTATAAGATTTTTCACATTTTTCAATTCAAATACTAAGTGAAGGTTTTGCAAACAGAACACAGGTAGACTTTCTTTGGTTGGTAGTGTATGGAGTACAGATGCAGATTTTGTTTGTTCAAGCTCACCACAGTCAGGATTTACATTGTTTTAACTGCCTTAAAAACATTAAGATTCTCTTTTTATTTCTTCCATCAGTTGGTACAATTTCAACCCATCTCTATCACTTGAAAAGTTTTTTTAGAGTAAATTGCTCCACAGAACAAGGTAGAAGAAAGACAGCAACTCTAAAGATGGTTAAAGACTCTTGTCCCACCCCTTTTGGAACACCTAGGCTGCCCTGCCAATGTTATTAGATGGTTCTTGACCAAGTTGCTCAGAGCTGTATGTCAAACAGTTCCTTCTTCTTTTTTGTTTTGAGTCTGGCCTTGAACTGACGATGTGGCTGAAGATATCTCTAATGCTCAGCCTTCTGCCTCCAGCTCCCAAGTGCTGGGATTGCAGGAGTATGCCACCACACCCATTCCATTCCCCACCTCTACTCTTGAATCTGAATAATTGGAGGATGAGCAGACAATATCCACAGCAGAAACAACATAATACAGCTTAAGAGATGAAGAAATTGTATGTTCTTACAAGTCCCCCCCCTTCCATTCTAGTTTGTT